AGGTGGCCAAAGAGAGGACATTAGGGAAAGGCAGAGAAAAAGAAGAAAAGTATGTCAGAAAATACTGTTTGACAGATAGGAAGACTGGGACACTCCAGAACCAGATTGCTCACATTACCATGCTTAAAAGTCCTTGCCTAGAAAATTACTCTAAGAGCAAAATACGTTTTTTTCCTGAGGCTAAAATGCAATGTAAGGGATATGTATCTAACACTCCAAGATAAAAGGAACAGAAATGCAGCTTCCTAAAGAGTAAATCTAAATTGACAAAATAAGTATCCTCCCCAAAGATTACAAAAATCACTGCCATAATACTTGCCCCAAGCTGGCTCTTTCCAACCATATCCACTTCTTGCACTGCTTTCCTAGATAATCCCAGCTACAAAGTTTGAATTTTCCAAATTCGTAAGGAAGCCTAAAGGAGTTCATCACATTTCAGGCCCTAAGTCTCTGGGACTTGAATCTCTTCATTTATTTTTCTGTCTAACCACTCCTTTCTGATCATTTTATTTTCAAGCAATGTGAATTGTTTTCCCCCAAAACCTATTCCTATGTTGGTGTTTTAATTCCTGAAGTGAAGAAAAAGTAATGCCATGTTTCTTAACTAGGATACCTGACAGAGTGCCAAGGGCAGCATCCAGAGACAAAAGTCTCTGGATAAATCTGATGCGTCTGCTTGGAGCACCAATTTTAACTTTTTTTTTTTAATTTTATTTTTTTATTTTTTGAGAGGAAGATTAGCCCTGAGCTAACTGCTGCCAATCCTCCTCTTTTTGCTGAGGAAGACTGGCCCTGAGCTAACATCCATGCCCATCTTCCTCTATTTTATATGTGGGATGCCTACCACAGCATGGCTTTTGCCAAGTGGTGCCATGTCTGCACCTGGGCTGCCGAGAAGCGGAACGTGTGAACTTAACCGCTGTGCCACCTGGGCGGGCCCCATCCAATTTTAACTTGAATGGGGGTAGGGGTGCTAGTCCTAAAATAGATGTAATGACAACAAATTTTAAAAAAATCACCTAAAAGTTTAATTTAAAAAAAGAGAGACTTCAAAGAAATTCCATGTTTGCTTGTAGTGGCAGAACCCCTATAGTTCTTTCACTCTCTTCTGCTGTTAAGGACACTTCAGTGGAAAGGTTTGACAAACACTAAAGTAAGGGATTGACGGAAGATAAAGGAACATTTACATTCATTAAGTAGACATTTATTGGGAGCTTTCTGTGTGCCAGACACTTTGGTAAATACAAGGGATATACAAATGAAAAAGCAGAGGACTCGGCCCTGAAGAAGCCTATTACAATGCTGGCTGAATATTAAAATCTCATGGGACATTTTTAAAAATATTGCTGGTCAGACACTACCACCCAAAGACTCTGATTTAGTCTCAGGTTGGGCCCTGGCATCAAGAATTGTTTTTTTTAAAGGGTCCCCAGGTGATTCTAATTGGCAGCCAGGGTTGAAAACCATGTGGTGTCACACTGACCAGGCTCCTGCTCTGACTAAAATTAGCAGTTCTATCCAGGAATAAAGTATGTATAAACTGCTAGTCACCTATAAAAAGAGAATCTTAAAAGAAGCATAAGGCTGTTGTTTAACAAAAAGGAGAGAAAAAAAGGAGAGAAAGAAAGAAAAAAGAAACTAATTTAGAGATATTTGATAACTGATTCCTAAGAGCAAGAAGGTCTGAGATAGTGCCTGGCCAGGCCAGATGCTAGAAGGTTTCCACAGAAGCCTCACCTTCTGCCATTTATTTATTCTTCCCTCACCTACCACCCACTCACACCTGGGATCAAGAATGATTTTTAGATAAAATTTAAAAAAAGAAAAAATAGGAAAAGCAAAACTCTAATGTTGATTAAATAAAAAAAGATATTGGCTAACTGAGGATTTTGCCAGAGGCAGATATAGAGAGGTTTGGTGCTGAGTTAATTAGAATAATCCCAGACAAAGAAACAGGAAGTCTTCTCTCAGAAGGTGGAGCTGGCCTTGTGCTTTCTGCAAATCTGGCATCAATGGAAAGATGATCAACCCTTTCGGATAGGAAATTAGAAGTATTTTGTTTTTCAGATTTTAAATTTTTGTGAGTAGAAATGGGGGATGAGGGAGCAGTGCATACAGAAGGAATAAATGCTGTTATTCCAAAATTAGATTAGCAATAGGTTAAACAGAAGGAGCCTTGGTTGGAAAGAATCACTGCCTATAAGAAAAAGCATTCCAGGGGCCCGCCCTGTGGCCGAGTGGTTAAGTTCGCACGCTCCGCTTTGGCGGCCCAGGGTTTTGCCGGTTTGGATCCTGGGCATGGATGTGGCACCACTCATCAAGCCATGCTGAGGCAACATCCCACATGCCACACCCAAAAGGACCCACCACTAAAAATATACAACTATATACCGAGGGGCTTTGGGGAGAAAAAGGAAAAATAAAATCTTAAAAAAAAAGGGCATTCCAATACCAGTAGCATACCGGATCCTCATGACAAAATAAAGCTTAATTATTTTCTCATTTTTTCATCTCCAGGCCACCACGAGCACAACCCAATGATCAAGGAAGATAGGACAAAAAACAGCTAAAGCAAACTCTCAATCTCTCAAAATAAACAAACATATCACCCATCAAACAAAACCAAAGAGTAAAAACTTCCTTACAGTGACTTTCAAATTATGGTAATAGCTAACACATAATGCCTATGTGCCAAGCACTGTTCTAAGTAATTTAATTATATTAACCAACTAAAATCCTCACTTGAACTCCATGAGGCAGGTACTATTATTAGTTCCACTTTAAAGAAGAAGAAACTGAGGGAGAGAGACATTAAGCAGCTCACCACGGATCATGAGGCTAATAAGTGGCAAGGCTGGGATCTAAACCAGGTAGTCTGCTTCACAGTTTGAAGCACTTAATCGCTAAGTCATGTTGCCTCATTTATGTAAGAAAACTATTTTCAGGGTGTGGCTTTGGTCAAAAGTATTACAGTTGTAGCTACTTTTTTGATACAATTATAAGAAATAGTTCAATAAATAATGCTGCACTACAAATTGTTTGGCTCTTTGTCAAAGTAGCCAATTTCCTAAAAACAAACTTCTTGCTATTGTGTTCCCTGCATTTTAGGAGTGGGAAAGGTGAGAGGAGCTAAAGCTGAGCCTTTACAAATCTGTTTTACCATCAAGTAACAGCTGCCCTTTGATATCCCTCAATAATACAAACATCTCAATCACCCTGGCTGGAAGACCCACCTAAATCCACCAAAATAAATCATACAGAAAAAGACTTACAGGGAGAGGTCACAAAAAGGATGAAGTAAATTCCAAGACCTCCTTTTCAAAAATTCTGCATTTCATCTCACTAGCTAATTCACTACAGAGTCTGTAAAGACATTCATTTTACACTTCTAGCATAAGAGTAGAGAAGGAAGACTAGACATCTCAACTCTCTCACAGATGTGCCACTACAAGGTCTGAAACACCAGAGAGCTGGCAATGAGCAGTGGTAGAAAAAAAATGAAGTAGGTCATTTTACCACCCAGTACTTAACTGATAATCTTTATTCTCAATGTAAGTGACAATGCAGAGGAAACAGCTTCTGCCCAAGGACATGACTGGCATGTACAGACACAGAAAGAGGTAATAGGGCTGACCGAAGACCAGATCCTTTTAAAAGACATACAAACCACCCTGAGCCTGCAACTACTTCTCAGTTACCCAGCTTCTGACAGTATCTTTGCCCTCATTTACTATGGTCTTCTGCCATCCAGCCCTCCACACCTAGAACTCTTTGCTTTGCAAAGAACTAGGTTCTCTTTCATTTACCCTCTTAGTTCCCAAGAACCCCACCAATATTTAAATCCAATCAAACACAGATCCTTAACCGGAAAATGACTGCCATAGGTCTATTTCCAGAGAAACTAGCAAATAATCTAGTAACGTAGAGCAAAGAACACTGCACTAGAAAGATGTGTTTTATACTCTTCTCCTTCACTGAATAACCGTGTGAGCCAAGAAATTTAATCTCCCTAGGCTTCCCTTACTTGTGAAATAAAACTACCTTACTAGCCTTAAGGAAGAGGGCCAGCTCATGTGATCTCTTAAGATCTCTCTGATACAATTCTTTGATAATTCAACTCTACAAGCATTTGTTTCTCCAAACTCTGCCTCACAGTGGGGGGGAGAAAATGATGAATGAAGCATGCCAGAAAGTCAAAATCCTTAGAACTGATGACAAGGGAAGGCTAAGGAACTATCTGCTTGAGAAACTATGGTGGTAAGGCATTCTTTATAAGGGCCATTCTAAATCTCTTACCCTAGCATTCAAAACCTTTCAATACAGCTCCTCCACTCCAGCCAGTTTATTTCCATCTCTATGTTTTTGCTTATGCTGTAACCTTCCTTTAAACCTGTAATGCTTTTCCATCTCTTGCTTGCCCCTCCAAGATCCCAAATCTGAATTCATCTCTTCGACTGGCCTTGTCCCACAACAATCCCTCCCTTAGCATTCTGTTTATCATGGACTATGTTCCTGATCCTAGCAATTTTATATATTCATTTTCGCTTTGGCTCTTTTTTAAGTCTTGGATAGAATTCAGGTTCATTGTGAAAGGGATGATTGCTAATGAATAAGCTTCATACAGGCAGGTTTGGGGAACAGCTGCCGCTGCTTTTTTTTGTGAGGAAGACTGGCCCTGAGCTAACATCTGTGCCAATCTTCCTCTATTTTATGTGGGATGCTGACACAGTGTGGCTTGACCAGTGGTGCTAGGTCCGTGCCCGGTGTCCAAACCTGTGTACCCCAGGCCACCACACAAACTTAACCACTACGCCACTAGACAGGCCCCAAGAGCTTCATTTTTAAGATAAAAAGCTGAGGGGCTGAGAAGTTTCAAGAGACTGTAAACACCTGGACTGGCACTAGTTTGAGAACAATCTATGATAGGGGAAGGGAGAGAATAACCACTGCACTTCCCAAGAGAGCTGGTCTAAGCATGACTCTGGTCCCATAACAATTACCTGTTGAGGGTCCTATATGCACCCTCCACGTTCCCTTCCTGTACCATCACAGTCCTGGCAATGAACTTCAGGTGTTTTGCCATAACCTTGGATTTAAGTCTGCACTCTGCAGGACCTAAAGGGATGATGGAGAGAGGAGGAGGAAAGTATAGAGACCAGGTAAGACAAACAAAACAGAATACACACTCTTCCGCGTGGCTTATTCAAGGTCTAGAAATGCAACGTGCACGGGAACATGCAAAACAGGGGCATGTGGAAGTCCTCTTATCCTAGAAAGTACACGCGAATCGTTATCAGGACTCCCTCGTTCTCTTTGCCAATACAAACCTTACCATAGGGAAGAAAAGAGACGGTGGCAGGGCGTCACCAAGGAGATTTACGTGGCTGGGCACCCGAGGACCGGGACACACCGCAGGGCCCCCTACACCCCGCCCAATTCCCGTTCATGGCCCCAGGAGGATTTGGGGTGGGAGTTGGCAACCGAGTCTTTCTCGGTCTTTCGGAAAGGGGGTAATAGCGCCCAACCCTGCCCTGCCGCCACAGCCGCCTTTCCCCATCGGCTGCACTAGCTCCTTACCCCGCGCACTCAGGACGTAGCCGACGCGGCGCTAGCTAGCGACCGGAAGCGGAAATACGTAGTCTCCAGCGCTGCGCAAAGAAACGGAGGCTGGAGGGAGAAAGCTATGGGGAAACCTGGACAACGTTCTTTCGGGCCCGGGTTAGCGGGCTTTCCGCTCCCCTAAATTTCCCCACCCCCAGGGCCTGGACTCAACACCTGAAAAAGCAAAATATTTGTTGCCTTAAATTCCCCTAAAACAGGGTCTCGCCTTCTCATGGAGTCGTCGTCCTTCAGCCTCTGAGAAGCTCAGCCCGATTCCGTACCCCTTAATCTCCTTAAATCCTTAATAGATATTTAAGCCATTTCTTTTTCTGGAAGGAAAATGAGAGACATATGAGAAGCTTCCTGAGTGTGCTTCCTGTTTTCTTTTCGCAAAGGACATAGATTCTTTGATATCTGCTCTCCGAATGAAAAACAGCTTCACACCCCTTAGTTGCCTAAAAACTAAGGAAAAGAAATGAACAAACCGTGAGTTTCCTACTCCATCATCTTCCCAACCGTTTCACTGAATAAAGTGAGGTCACTAAATAATTGGAAAACATCTGCAAGATTTAGAATCAAAGACTTTTGTAAGTCGGCTTGTATCCCATTTGCCTCCTAGTGAGACCGAGTAGAAATATATGTTTTTAATATATATATTTTTTAAAGATTGGCACCTGAGCTAACATCTGTTGCCAATCTTCTTCTTCTTCCTCTTCTTCTCCCCAAATCCCCCCAGTACGTAGTTGTATATTGTAGTTGTAGGTCCTTCTAGTTGTGGCATGTGGGATGCTGCCTCAGCATGGCCTGATGAGCGGTGCCATGTCCATGCCCAGGATCCGAACTGGTGAAACTCTGCGCCGCTGAAGCAGTGCATGCAAACCTAACCATGGACAGTCCCGAAATATCTTTTTTATTTCTTCCTCACTGTGGAGACACCCTTCCTTTTGTTTTATTTGTATGTTACTTTTACATATCCATTTATGGTTATTCACGTAAGTTCAGATCTAATGGCTACTGGAAAACAGTAGAGAAAGGATCAAAGGAAGAAAGCAGGTCCCAAGCAGGTACTTGTGTAGTAAGGTTTTTTGAGTACCTCCCCTAAAACACACAGGTACATACACACCGATGCATCCTCCATCAATTATGCTGATAGAACACACACAAAAACTGAAGCCAGCTGCAGAGTCAGCCAGGTTCAAAGTACCAAAATAGAGCTAGACTGGGACATCATTATGTTTATCAATGAACTTACTGAATGCCTACTCTGGCTGGTACTGTTGATACCATTCCAGTGTTTTGAACCACGAGAGGACAGTGCGTAGATATAAAAGATAAACAGTAAAACAAGGTAATATATAATAAATGCAAAATAGATAGGTAATAGCATAATATGATAGAAAAGCACTGGATTAGAAGTCAGGAAATCTGGATTCTATCCAAATTCGGATACTTATCAGGCATATGACCTTGAACAAGTCACTTAAACCAGGAGTCTGCAAACTACTGCCTACAGGTCAAATCTAGCTCCACCCTGTTTTTGTAAAGAAAACCATATAGGAAAGCAACTGTGCTCATTTGTTTATATATTAGGTATGGCTGCTTTGGGCTACAATGGCAAAGTTGGGTACTTGCAACAGAAATATATGGCCCACAAAGTCTAGAATATTTACTGTCTGGCTCTTGCTGACCTCTGGTAAACTCTAAGTCTAGCTCCTCATCTGTAAAATGGGACTGATATCTGCCCTCAGTCACACAAAATTTGTCATGGGAATCAAATGGGATATAATATAAAAATATTTTGAAAGAAAGGAAAGGGAAAAGTAACATTTTTGAGAGTCTATTATATACCAAACCTTGTACTAGGCCTGTTATGTACAAAATCTCATTTGATAGAGTAAAGGGTCAAAAACTGAGCCTATATATCACGTTTAATGGAGAGAATAATTGAGAGAGGGACTTGAGTTTGTCATTGAAAGAAAGGCAGGCTTTGGTTAACAGAAGCAGGAAAGGCTGGGCAAGATGAACAGCATAAACATGGAGTTTCAAGGAAAAAAGGCTTACAGTGTTCAGGGCATATAAACTGGACAGAGGGATCCTGCAGAGGAACAGAGGGAGAAATAGAGGCCTTGACTAAAGGTTTTGGGCTTTTTTTCTCAAAGCATTGAGGAGTCATTAAAGGATTTGAATAGGGAATGACATGCAAAGCACTGTTCTGGTTCCACTGTTCTAGAAAATTAATCTCGTTATCAGCGAGAAGGGATTAGAGGTAAGAGAGGCTATTGCTATAGTCAAAGTTTAGACCAGAAGGACCCACAACTAATATATACAACTAGGTACTGGGGGGATTTTGGGATAAAAAGCAGAAAAAAAAAGTTTAGACTAGAGAAGTGGCAACAGAATGGATAGGAAGAAATGGATTTTAAGAGACATTCCAAATACAGAATAAAAAGCATTTGGTGACTGAATGGCACTAAGTTTTAAACCTAGTTATCTAGAAAAATGACAGTACCATAGACAGCACTAACAGAAGAAAAAGAGACTGTAAAAAGGCAGACAGAACAGGACATCTTTAAAAGAAAGATAATATTTTGATTGGTGAGCACTGAATAAAGCACCAGACTGGAAACCAAGAGTTGTGTGCCACACATTGTGTTGTCTTGCCTAAGCCACCTAAGTTTCCTCATATATAAAACGAGGGGGTAGAATTAGATACAAAAGGTACCTCTTGGCTCTAAAATGCTGAAATTTTCAATAAGTTTTAGAGTTAGTAATATGTAAATAGAACTGTCTAGCAGACATTCAGTATGTCATCTCAGGGGAGAGACTGGGACTTTTAAATTAAAGCCATGAGAGAAGATGAAAGCTTTAAGTGAAAGAATGTAGTCAGAGAAGAGTAAAGGGCCAAGGACTGAGCCTGGGGGGACACCCACAACTCTGCAGTGGGCAGAAGTGGGGCCATTAAGAGATACAGAAGTTGCTGCCAAATAGGTAAGAGGAGAATTAGGATAATGTGCTGTCATGGGATCCAAGGGAGGAGAGTTTCAGTAGGCAGAATCAAATGATATAGAGACCATGAAGCACATAGCCTTTTTAAAGGTCCCTGGTCTTGCTATTGATTGGGTGGAAGCTATATTATAATACCCTAATTCTGTGAGATCATTAGTGATTTAGGAAGGTGCAGTAGAGAGATAGCAGTAGAAGCTAGGCTGCGAGAGGTTAAGAATTGAGTGGTAGGTACTCCCTCTTTCAGGAAGAGTATGATTAAGACTACTCTGTCAAGAATTATGGAGAAAAGATGAGAAAGAGGACAATCAGGCTGAAGAGATGTTTTCAAGAAGGGGGGACCTGATCACAACTGTAGGAGGAATAATTATTACTTCTAGAAGAAAGCAATAAATAATAAATAATGCAATAACAAATTGCAGTTACAAGATAAAGAGGGGATAAGTGATACAGCAAAAGTTCGAGAGGTGGATGGTAATCAAAAGCATAGAGAGGTTTGCCTTAGAAAGGAGGTCATGTTCTCTGACATAAAAGGAGACAATTATTCACTGAAAACCGAGAACTTGAGAAATAGGGGAAAGATGTATCACTAGTATGAGAAACATGCTAAAGAGCCGATAAGCAATAACTAAAATGACTAAGTAGTTTGGTACACTGCAAAGGCTTAGGATGGAAGAGGACATTGTTCTTTTGGAAACTGGGACAAATCAGAGTAATATACGGAAAAGGGTAGATGTAGGTAAATTCACAGACTTCATTTTTGCCTCCTGATAACACTGGGTAGTTTTCCTTAGTCTAGCATACATTTAGCAGCTGCAGCTTTTTGAATAAGGATGACGCCCAGGGTCTGAGGGGATTCCCCATTCTGACAGTTCTAGGGTGCCCCTTCCTCTTCAAAACTAGCAACCACAGTGCCTTTTCTGGTTCTTGTGTCCCTTTTCAGGCAGCAGTAGATTACATATGCATTTATCCACAAGCATCAATAGCTCCCATCAAAGCAAAGAGCTAGCCCAGAGCAGAAGAACCTGCTAGTCTGGGCCAGCTGGAAGATTACAAGAGCAAGAGACACAAAGGGAAAGGTACTAGTCTCTGAGCCTGAATGAAAAAACAAACCCAACTCTGAACCCTGTAACTGTCCCAAGGGTGTTCCCTAGGACAGCAGCAGAGAGTTCCTTTTCCTCTCCCACAGGACTTATATTGTCCAATCCAGACTTCTAACTTGGTGGAGCTAATGTTCACAAGTGTTCCCATCCCCCTTTCTTCTTTTTTGAACCTCAGCAGATAAATATTGGTATTTTAAACAGAAGGTTTCAATTTCCCCCAATCAGCAAACTGTTTAGGTATAAAATTTCTTTAATCAGAAAGGATTTATCTTCCTTCAACACAAATGCACACATTAAAAATATATATAAGTAGACATACATTCACACAAATTATAAACCATAGTCTCAAGTCCTGGATTAGGGCTTGAGAGGACGGACATCAGGAGCAATTGGAGGAAGGCTTCTCATCTGCTCTAGGTGTCTTACATTCATCTCTCTGGTCATGGTGGGTAGACCAGGAGAAGACAAGGTACAGCTCCAGTCTGATAGAGTTACTGGCAAACTGTGGCAACGAAGTCCCTCTCCAGATAGTTTCTTAGGATCACCAGGGATGACAGGAGTTGCAGTAGTAGGTAGGACTGGAGTGGTTGGGGCAGAGTGGGTGAAAGGCTGCACTCCATGCTGGAGGAAAAGGATGACTCCAATGCTGGTTCCAGTGCCTAAAGGACTATGGCTAAAGGAGATAGTACCTGGGGAACTTAGAGGGGGGTTGCAAATTGGAGTGGTGTGGATCCAAGTGAGGTTCATAGCTGGCCATTGAGGGAGGTGCCAAGGCTGCTTTGGTTTCAATACTAGATGTCCTAGCCGTGTCTGGTCCATCTTTTCCTTGGGAGGTGCAGGAGAAGAAGCAGTTGGATAACCTTGGTGGCTTGGAAAATGCTAGGGAGGGGGAGAAAAGAGGAAACAATTATATAAGAAAGCTTTCAGATTAACTCCAGCTGGTTGCTTAAAGCTTTGTTTTCCTTGGGAACTCTGCAATACAAATATACAGATAATTTCCTGCTAGACTATGATTAACGAAAAGTTTGAGTGATCAAATTATACTTTCATTTATTTAACAAGTACTTGAGGGCCTACTATGTACCACACACTATGTTAGGCACTAGATATCCAGACGTATACAAAATAAACAGTTCCACAGGTTAAAATGAATTTATAATTTGTAATTTGTAATTTGTAATTTATTTTAGAACTTCTTTTTTAAAAGTCTATTTTTAATTTTAATTTTAATTGCAATCATCATTTACTTCTTTTTTAACAGTCTTTTTTAACAGTCTATTTTTAATTGGAATCATCATTTCTCAATTTCTGTATTTTAAATTCTAATTTCCTATGTTGAGTTGCTTAAGAAGTGTAAATTAATATGCAGGCAACATCCTCCTGCTTATTTTAAATCAATTATTCCCACAGCAATAATAATTTTGGTAGTTGAAAACAAGGACTATCCTTTATCTTCAGGAGACTTTCCCCTCCCCATCATTTGAGTGCCCCCTAAATACCCTGTTATTTGAAGGCACAGAAGATGTCACTTCCACACTAGGTGTAAGAATCTATCCAACACTCCGTCTCTGGGTGCCCCACGAGTGCCCTCCTCCCCTCCTGGTGATGTACCTCTTATGACCAGTCCTTGAAACCCAGGCTTCCAAGAGGGTTTGGTACAAGGATACTCGAGCAGGAGTAAAAAGAGGGAGAGGGAAAGGGTTTTAGAGGCAGCAGAGGAGAAAGAATTTGTAGAGAGAAGCTGAGGAATCTTCCTGCATGACTCATTTGGCCAGGTAAGAAGCCTTCTGTATTTATGCAGAAAGCAGCTAAGCTGCAACATGAGGGAGAGGGCTAAACTTCAAGGAGTTCTTCACAATGACCCAAACAAAATGGAATAAAAAACATCTAGGAATCAACACAATGAAGGAAGATTAGGCGTTCCCTTCCCTGAAAAAAACTTGTTGAAAAGAAGAAAAGACCCAGAAGAAAATGGAAGAGGGAGCCCATTTCTGCATATACACTTCATTTCCTTGGCTGTTTTCCCACCTCTTCCTCAGGTTTATAAGTTCTTACCTTGGTCAGCTGGTGCCTGCTACTACCCAATGATGACTTCTGGGCAGCTATATGAGGAAACCAAGTCTTTAACATCCCTTCTACCTGTAGCAGGGTCCCTAGATAACGCTCCCTGTAAAAAAGGACATTTTTTTTTTTAAGCTGTTAAGTGTAAAAAAAGCAACAAAACAGGACTGGAGATATTTCCTTTTTTATGAAGTACTTAGGAAAGAACCAGGGGGGACTTACCCCATCTGTGGCTTCTGCAGAACACCTACGATACGCTGGATCCTGTCCATTGCCACACTCTGCTGGAAACTGCTCAATCCTGGGGTCAGGGAGAGACAGAGAGATCAAGGATTGAGATTCAAGAATTTAGTCAGGTAAAGGAAGGACAGAAGGGGCTTAAAATTGATTCACTTAAAGAAATTAAGTCACAGAAGCAAAAAAAGAATAATCCAGGCCCCAAAGATTTAAGAGAAACAGACATTTAAAACATTAAGAGAGAGAAAGATGAACCTAGACCAAATGAATGCAGCTAATCAGATAATTACCTCTCTCAAAGCGACCCATCTTGAGCCCATTCAGTAGGTCTGTGAGAGGACGTATGAATCCTTGGAGTTCTCTGCACTGAGGAAAAACAGGACAAAGGCTAAGGAGGCTAAGAACTGCCCACACCAGGACTCAGTCTTCCTCCACCTCCAGATCTGGGAGCCAATACTATCCTCATAGGGGCGTTACCTCATAAGGCCCTTACCAAACAGCTGGGCGCTAAGCCACTCCAGTAGTGTCTCCTTTCACCTGCTTTCTCTTACCTTCTGAGCAAACAGCAGATCTCCTTCTGTGGTATAACCTTGGATGTTTAGACTGGTCTCCAATTCACCATCTCTTGGTCTTTTGACCCCAGATCCTGCCATGGGAGAAGCCAATCCCTGCTGTTCCGAGTGAGATGCTGTATGTTGGTTACTGGAAACCTTGGGTCGTTGCCTGCAGCGGATAGGACCAGGGCTGGGCCGAGCACCTGGCCTCTGCCCAACAGTGCCTAGGTTGGGGCCAAGGGTCCCCTTGTCCTCCCCCTCACTATCAGAGGGGAAGCCAAAGTCACTGTTCACTGGGGAGGTGGAAAAAGAGGAAGAGAGAGAGTAGGAAGAATAGGAAGAAACGCTAGATGGAGAATCCATAGATTCAGAAGCAGGGACTGGAGAGCAGCTCCCGGAGTACCCAAAGATCCGAACCTGCAACTGAAGAGCAAAGCGAGGGAGTTTGAAACCAGAATCTGAGGATTAGGAAAAGGACTCGGAGACTGGGGTGTACTGTCAGGGATAATATCTCTCCCCTCTCTCCCCAATATTACCTGTCTCAAAGACAATAGAGAAAGTCATCTCCCCCGCCTCCTCCCCTCCATTAAGAACCTGGACGGCCTCTCTGACCTCCGCAGAGCAGCTCTTAGACGACGCGGGCTCTGTTCTTTCTTTCCTGAGTTTAGAGTAAATTACCTGACTTGACACCTTCCCCAAGCCTGGTTGCTCGCCTGGTCTGTACCCAATCTGACCTCGCAGCGAGCCTATCTCTGCGGTCACGACACCAGCAAGCCGTAAATCTCCGGCACTCGAACCCAACTAGTGACCCTGTAGGAACCGCGCTCAAAGAGACCTCCTGCCTTTTCCCAATCTTTTCGATCAGGATACCTGCGGACCCTTTCCAATCGCGCCTGCCACGTGATGCGATCCCTCCCAACACCAAGATCGGCGTTCGGTCCCTAAACCCACTTCCTCCGGGTCTGATCCTCTCGCGCAGATCGCTCCCGGTCCTCCGAGTCTCCTCACCTGTGTTGGTCGGCTCAGCCTAGGCTGTCTCCAGCTCCTTCTCAGACTCTCCCAGTCTAGGCTACCCACCTCCGCCTCTCTCCCAGTAGGTCCCGCCCCTTCCCCCTCCCAGACACGTGCGGCTCGGCACGTGCCTTCCCCCTGCGTACACAGACCTCACACCCTCATTGGTTGTCTAGCCGGTGGCACGTGACCCTCGTTACTGAATTTCACATCCCATTTGCTACAGCATACAGGGGCTCGGCCAATAGAGAGGTAGTCAGGTGACGATTGGTTGGAAGGGAAGCATTCCGTGCTCCGCCCCTACATGCGGCTAGCAGAGAGCACCCGGTGATGAGAAAAGGAGGAGGATGGAAAAAGAGCGGAAAAGAAGCGAGGGGAGGAAAAGGGCGGAGCCCGTGGCCTTAAATAGGGTGGTGGTGCGCCGGAGACTCGTGGTTGGAGTGTGCAAGCTGGTTGTGTGACCTGAGGCGCGTGTCTCGAGATGTGGGATTCCTGGCTCCTCCTCGGGAGCCGACCTCTCTGCCCCCTCTTTGAGCGCCTCGGCTCACGAGTGCAGCACGTGGAAACCGTCAGCGACTTGGATCGGCAACGTGTGTGAGAGAATGGATGTGTGCCATAGTGTATCCTCTCCCCCCTCAGCGGCCCAGCCCTCGTGACTCCCGGGTCTCTGTTTCACTCTCCCCTCCTCCTCCTTCTCCTACAAGTTGGGTGCCTCCTGCCCTGCTGAGTGAGGAGGGTTGAGGACTGCTGCCGAGAACACCGCGTTCTCTCCGCGGCCCCCCCTGGGGCGCCTCCTCCAGCCCTTGCCTTTACATAACCCGTCACGCACGTTACCAGCTCAGATGCCAGCCCGCCTCGACTTTAGAGATCAAAGCCGAACTCGGTTGTTCCTCACTTTTCTACCCGGGCTCCTTGGACCCTGCGCCCTGAATTCTGTGATTCCTAGCACAGGGAACAGAGTGAGGGTAGGTTCTTGATCTCCTAGGTTATGCCTTTGTCCAGCTTCAGTTTCATCATTTGTCCGCTGGTGAAGATACGAAAGGCTCTGAAGGAGGGAGGTGGCAAGTCCGGAGTTTACTATTCGCTGCCTCTTGCGTTATTTAAAGTACAGTGTAGAGAAGGGGATAGGGATTCAGGGACTGTGGACTGATTGAAGCTGTGACATCGAAGAGACCACAAGGGGGCAGCCCAGTTCTGATTAGGGTCCCGAGGACAGAGAAAAAAACATTTTAAAGTATGTCCCTGCCTGCCCTAATTACTAACTGGAAAAGGCACATTGCTGCTGGTGAAGTGGGGGTAGGAGCGTGTAAATGGAGGAGGGTGTGAATTTTAAAAATCTATTCTAAGTAGTTTTTGATATTTTACATATGTTTAACAATGTGCTTATTTTATAAAAAGAAAAAAGTGTTCTAAATAAACCTCAACTCTTTCCCCAAACACATTGTCTCAACACCGTATATAATAAAGCAACAGAATAAGAGGGAATTATGGACTGTGGTAAACCTGTTGTCTGTGGGTGCTCTTCTCCATTCTTCCCCAAATTTCAGGTTTATTTACAGTCCTAATAATTCCCTTAAATTCTATTGTCACCTAACTCCTTTTCTAATCCCTTCCTACCCCCATATCCTGGTGCTCTCTTTAGTGTTGTGGCTTTAGAACAGACTCTCATGAAGGAGTAGAGAGTAACCAGATTATTTCATTTATTTTATCTTCCAATTTCATCTTCCCAAATCCCCATCCAAAGAGTCGTAGCAGCCTTCTCTCTCCTAAAAAAGCAAAGAAAGGGGGAAAAAAAACCCCACAGGGTCAGGGGACTCAGGAAATTGCTCCATGCCCCCACCTCGATGAAAGCTCCACACATTTCATATTCTGAGCTAGATCTCCCCATGACTTCTCCTGGAAGATGTGTCCCCTCTCCTCTTCACTCCTTCCTTCTGCTAAAACTCTTCATGCCCCATAGTGTTTAGAATCTCAACCTAAATCCCTTCCCTGTAATACAGATTTCTCTTCCCTCCTCATTTCCCCAATGATTTCTCCCCTACATTAGGGAAACACTACCCCTCTGCCTCTGAACTTTGCCTCTTGACTCTACCGGTTGTAATGCCCCTCCCATTTTGCCCTTGGCACTTCCTATGCCTTAAATGACAGCTAGGCTGGAACCAGCTTTAATTACTCAAGGCAGACCGCAAACCTAGACAGGTTTCATTTCCATTCCACCTGCTTCTGCTCTACGAGGTCCTGAAATCCTCCCAGTTCAGAAAAAGTAAAGACTTATTACAAAAGTCCTTGCCTCAACATCTCCTAAACTTCTTTAAAGTTAGATAAGATTTTTCTAAATGTGATCCCTGTTCTTTTAAGCCGCTGAGAATTGACCATGCTAGAAACACTAGCCAGAGATACTGGTAAAAACTGCTTCACAGACTCCCCCAAGGCCAACGGCTGCACTCTCACCTTCTACGTGAAATACATCCTGCCCTGAACGAGGGCCCAGGACAGGAGGAGGGGAACAGGACTCTGCAGACTGGATGCAGCATCAGTCAGATCTGGACTCTGCTAAAATACAGACATCACACCACAGCAGGCCAGTGTCATCCTTCCTACCACCCCCACCCCCTCCGGAAGAATAGCCATCCCTTTACCCAACCTGTCTTCCTTTCCTCTGGACTCAGAGAAAGATCCAGCCCTCCTCCTCATCATTACAAGGAGTCCTTTCCTCTGTGCCTTTCAGCCATTCCTGACCATACCAGGGGAGGCCTGATTCAATTCAATGACATGTATTTCTTATCTGTTATGTGTATGACATTATGCTAGTCACTGTGCTAGGTGTTACAGGGGGGATATAAATATAATTGAGACATGGCTCCTGTCCTCAAGGAGTTTACAATCTAAAGGGAGCCTATGATATACTTTAAAAAATTTATCTGTCCTTGTTGTCAATCATCAGCTTTGCATTCCTACTGACTCCTCCCATCTGCGTTCAACTCATATTCAGGCTGTACTTTGCTCCTGGTTGCCCTTTCTAGCTGTTGCTTCTCTTTGTTCATTATCAGATTTCTCAAATGGTTGGTCTATACTATCCCTCCACTTCTTCACAACATACTCCCTCTCTAACTCCACAAAATCTAGCTTTTGCTCCAACCATTCAATTAAAACTGCTTTCAGGGCTGGCCCCGTGGCCGAGTGGTTAAGTTCACGTGCTCCGCTTCAGCGATCCAGGGTTGTGCCCATTTGAATTCTGGGCGCAGACATGGCACGGCTCATCAGGCCATGCTGAGGCAGTGTTCCATATGCCACAACTAGAAGGACCCACAACTAAAATGTTCAACTATGTACTGGGGGGATTTGGGTAGAAAAAGCAGAAAAAAGATAAATAAATAAAATAAAGTTAGTTGTTTAAAAAAAAAAACCTGCTTTCTTTGGGGTTACCAATGACCTCCTTCTCCTTGGTCTCTTGGTAGCTTTCGATTGATTATATTAAACTTTCTTTTCTAGACTCTACTTGGCTATCTGCCTACCTCTCCAATCAATTCTACGCCATGTCCTGGGATGATTCCTCCTCCTTCTACTAACTACAGGCACAGTCGTTGGCTTTTTGGTCTTCTGTGTATACTGGCTCTGCTAAGCTCATATACTTTTTTTCCCCTTCTTTTTTAAAAGATTGGTACCTGAGCTAACATCTGTTGCCAGTCATATTTTTTTCTTCTTGTTCTTCCCAAACCCCCAGAACATAGTTGTATATTCTAGTTGCTGGTCCTTCTAGTTGTGCTATGTGGGATGCTGCCTCAGTACGGCCTGATGAGTGGTGCCATGTACCTGCCTAGGATTGGAACCAGCAAAACCCTGAGCCACCCAAGCAGAGCTCAAGAACTTAACAACTCAGGGCCGGCCAGGTGGCGCAGCAGTTAAGTTCGCACGTTCCGCTTCTCGGCGGCCGGGGGTTCGCTGGCTTGGTACGCCATGCTGTGGTAGGCGTCCCACGTATAAAGTAGAGGAAGATGGGCACGGATGTTAGCTCAGGGCCAGGCTTCCTCAGGAAAAAAGAGGAGGACTGGCAGAAGTTAGCTCAGGGCTAATCTTCCTCCAAAAAAAAAAAAAGAACTTAACCACTCGGCCATGGGGCCGTTGCCAGAGCTCGTATACTTTTGCAACTGTGACTTTGCAGTTAGAACTGTAGCCCCGACCTAGTTCAGCTACCTTTAGAGCACCCTCATAGGCCTGTTACCATGAATTCACCTTGGCCAATGCCAAATTTATAACTTCACTCCTAAACCACTCTGACCTCCTACAGTTCCCATTTGGTCGACAATTTTCTCAGACATCCGTGTTTAAAACTTATAAGTTATTTTAGCTCTCTCCTCATTTATTGCTCATATGAAATTATCACTGAAGTAAGCTATTTTCTTCAAAATATTTCTTATTTTTCTCCTGTCCCTTGAAAACATCACTTCCCTAGTCCAGGCCTTTAATGAATTGTTTCTGGAAGGATGCAAATCTCATGAATCTCTCTCCACTTCATTGCATCCTGCATACAAGCAGACAAATAGTTTTTCTAAAATACTACTTTCATTGTCTTTACCATACCAAAGAACTTACGAGGCTCCCTGTTGCTTTTAAGTCCAAACTTCAGCCTGACATTTCAGACTTTCTATAATTTGGCCCTCTCTTGCCATATATGAAATTACCAAGCAAATACTAGAAGCCTTGTAAATTTTATTTTTTAATTTTCCACTGTTCCTTTCCATACACCCTCTCCTTCAATCATACCCCATCCACTAAACATGCTATGCTTGTTCTATCCCCCTCATTTATGCAGTTTTTTCACTCTTGGAATATCTATTCTTCCTTCTAATTGCTTTCATCCTTTTGTAAGTTACCATCAGTCAAAAACTCAGTTATTCTTCAAAGTGTACCTTAAGCACAATCACCTCCTAAAAGTCTTCCAGACAACTCCACCCTATACTGATCTCTCTCCTTCCACTGCCTAAAGCACTTGTCTATGTCATATGCTTTTAAATTTATATGTAATTTAACATTGTTGCAACCTTTTTCATTTTGATCTAAATGTTTCATAAATGTAAACTTGAGTTTTATAAATACTTGAGGGCAATAACAACATCATAGATTTCTTTTCCATCATCATCAGCATCTTGCAGCTTTAGGCATAGGTTACATACACATTAAGTACTACTGCACTGAAATTTAGCTGCACCAAATATTCCCAGTGTTCTGTATACAGGCTTAGTATTAAATCTCAGTGAAAGACAACGGCCAAGGTGGGATGAACACCTGCATTGCAGTACTAGTTATTTGGTTCCCCCATCCACCAAAGCCAGGTATTCCAGTCCTCCCTCTGCTGCAAATCATCAGCCCTGGGATCTATCCAGGGTAAGGGATATCTTGTCTCCCTCCCCGCTTATACCCAGTCCACTCACTGGTTCCATTGTCACTGGTTTCAGCGTTACAGGCTTCTGATGGTCTGCATGTTCTGTTTCACGACTAATGGTAGTCTCTGCTGGTTCCATTACCTCCTTATCCAACCTGTTCTGCCCTCAGTAGGATTGGGAAACACAGAGTTATCATTGCCTCCTCCCAAGTTCCTCATAGATTCGTAGATTCTCTATTTAGAGTTCTTCTCTCCTTCACCCACCCCCCACTTCCTCCAGCCCCCACCCAAGACTTAAGCTCAGGCATCCTCCCTATTTTATGTTTGTATGGATTATGTACCCACCTCATTCACTAATTCCCTTAACTCAAAGACTGCCCCCCTCTCTCAGCATCTTAGCCAACCTACTTTATTCTCCTCCCCAGCGGTGGTTAACAAATCTGTTTCCGGCCCACTACTTAGTTTCCTTTCACCTAATTCATTTATGTTCCTGCTAATCACTTACATTTCAACATTGCCCAGTTTCTTTTTAACAGTTACCTATCCTGACCCACTTACATGTAGAGATCACTTACCAGCCTGTCCTCTGACTCAAACAGGGAGTAATCAACAGTGAAATTTACACCAAAGTCATCTGGGGAGGAGGAAAAAATCAGTGGTAACAAGGAAAAAGGTAGCACTAAATCTAGAAATGAGAAGAGGAAGAAGCTGCTCAGAACATTTCAACTTGCTCAAGTTGTAAAATTTACTGATATAATCTAATTCTAAAGAACTTTAATGTCAAAAGTGTTTGTGAATGTGTATGCACTTATATTTTCAACCAGGTATCCAAAATAATTTACAGATTTGAAAATATTCAAATTGTTTCAACAAGTTTCCAAGGAATTAAAAATCACTAGCTTGAGAAATAACATCATGAGCCTTGATAGTCTTTGCTGATAGCCAAATTTCTCTCTGTCCGCGTTGCTCCATTGCAAAGGGAAAGACGAGACTTCAGACTAAGGGCCTCTCTCCATCCTGCTAAGGGCCAGAGCCTTACACATACTCACCATAATTGGGGGTGACTGTGTAATAATAGACCACCTGATAATAATCATCCTCTTCCAGTACTTCTTCATCCTCATATTCTTGTCCTATGGGGACAAGGACTAGAAGTCAAAGGGCACCTGGAACTCCTTAGCAACAGAAGGACGCCTGAAGTTGATCTCAGTTCTATCAGATTCCTTTCTCTTGGCCTCCCTTCCAAGGGTCCTACTATCTCCCTGCCTTTGCACTTTGAAACCCTTCTCAGTCTTCTGGGCTCCATATCTGTGATGAAGCCTGTTACTCTGTGCCCTTTCAATCCAGGAACTCCCAGAACAGAAAACAGATCATGTCACATACTGTAAACCCAAAATGAGAACTACACCTGAAAAAGATAGGAATCAGAGAGAGACCAGAAATCAAGAACCCAAAATCAACTATTCTGTATGCTCCAGACAGTATTATATTTTTAAAGGATCTTCTCTTATCAATGTCTCTCACAAATAAGGAACACACACACACCCTGAGGCTTTTAGACTTGGGTTTTAGTTTCAGGTTTACAGCTAATAGAAAAATCAGGAACAGGCCATTTAACATCCATTTTCTTAAAATGAGTCAACTGGACTAAATGATCCATCTGCATTAGTTTTTCTTCCTTCCCAGAACTAAAAATATGTGACTTTAACACAATTGTCAAGAATTCTAGGCCTCCTGCTAAACATTTCCCTAAGCTCCTTGAATGCTCTCCCTTAATACCATGAGATGACACAAGAATCTGGAGGAAAAGGAAACAATGAGAGCACCTGGGAGACTGGGAACAAAGGAGGGAAGGAGCCAAGCTGCTTTGGAGACCCTGTCCCTGAAGGCAGCCAGTTTTCCACTATCGTAAAGGCCATCCTCACTTCTGTCTTTACTAATACAAGATTTTTTCTCCAACTCTCTCGGAAAGAAGATACCCTGTCTTCCCTCACTAGCTTCAGACTGCCCACTTCAGAGTCCCCCTCTCTCCTTCACTCTCTTTAGTCCCTCTCACCTTGTTCAACTCTGTAGCGATGGAGAGCTGAATTCACTCTTGTTAGGACCTCCCCATGTCTGGGCTAATGGGCTCTATCCCCATCAGCCATCTCTTCTTTGACAGGATTCAGCTTTCCTCCCCCTTTCCAGGCTCGTTCTGGATCTCCCCTCCGCCCCCGACAGTGGACTCAAGCACAGATGAGAGTTATCACTCACCATGGAACTGCACCTCTCACCCTCTCCTCATTTTCTTTTCTCCCACCCTATTTATGGTAGAATACCTGGCCCAAAAGCTCAGGGAGAGAAGTGAACTTACCTAGGATAAGTGGCACAGCAAGGATGGCTACAAAGAAGATATTCATTCTGGATTGTGCACTATTGCCGTGAAAGCGAAAAAGGAAATTACAGCGTTTCCCACCAAACTTAACCCCGCCTCCCGCCCTCCTCCAAAGCAGGGAGGGAGCTGCAGCAACTCTTCACTCAGTGGGTGGGATTCCCTGACCACTTGCTCATGGACTAGATCATCATCAGTTACTACCGGTCCAGTCCTCCGCCAGAGCTGCCCAGATTAAGAGAGACAAAGTGGGTTCTGATGTGGACACGTTCAGTGAGCTCCCCTAGCCCTAGATTAGATCCATTCAGGATTCTCACTGCCACTACCAAAAAAACAATGCCTCTCCCCTGCCCCCCAAAACCTAACCTACCAAGGAGCTTCCCTTCTCCCCTCCTTTCCTTCCTTCTCTTCCAGGCCTCACAAAAAGCTCACCCTTGGGGCCTCCCCGTGGCTGAGTGATTAAGTTTGTGCGCTCCACTTTGGCTGCCAAGGGTTCTCCCTTTCGGATCCTGGGTGCAGACTTACACACCGCTCATCAAGCCATGCTGTGGCGGTATCCCACATGGAGGAAGTAGAATGACCTACAAGGAGGATATACAACTATGTACTGGGGCCTTGGGGAGAGAAAAAAACAAAAACCAGGAAGATTGGCAACAGATGTTATCTCAGGGCCAATCTTCAAAAGAAAAAAAAAAAGGCTTGCTATAAAAAAAAAAAGCAGCTCACCCTGCCTCTCACTGTCCCTCACTTACCATCACCATCCAGAGTTGCCCTTCTCTCTGAGGCTTGATCTCAGTCTTTCTTGAAAGTCGAAATGTTCTGAGGAAGTGATAAGCATTTTTCTTGACTGAAAATAGTCCCTCCCTTCTGCCTATCTTGGACTGCGAAGGGGAGCAATATCAACGCCATTGTCCGACTATCAAAACACCTGCTGCATTGCTTCTGATCAAAATCTCTCAGCCAAGGCCAGTTATTTCCTCTCTGGTAACTACTGACCTCACCTCACCTCTTTCTCAGCTTTCTGGACACAGGATGGAGGAAGAGAGGAAGCAGATCATCTCTTTCTCTGCTGTGGGTGCCACGCCCCTCTCCCACTTTCAGTCTCTTGGTGTGTTCCCTTCATTCCAACCGACAGGGTAGAGTTCATCTTATCCTTCTCTCTGCTTTATATTTCCCACTATCATTCAATTCTATTCAGAAACATTTAGTAGTATGTGCTAGGCGGTGTGCTGGGCCTAGTTCGATAGGCAATTCAAGGTTCACACACAAGCAAATAAGAAAAGAATACTATTATTTTTTTAAAGGGGGTTAATAAATATGTGTTCAACATCTACCATGAGCCAGGTAGGCACTATGCAAATCTCAGAGGAACCACACATGAATGAGATAGATTTGGTACCTGCTCTCATCAGTCAGCAGATGCTGTGGTAACAACCCAAAGGAGAGATGAGAAGAGTTGTCTTAACCCTATCTCTTCCCCTTACTTGGCCTGCTAGGCTCAGAAGCAAGACACACAGAGCCTTGAGCACTGGCCAGGATGCTCCCACTCTGTCAACCTTATTGGGGGAGGATTTGCTTGGTGACTTTCCATGTAAATCTATACAATCTATTCCTATTTACATTGAAAAAATGTAGTGGTTAAGTTCGTGCGCTCCACTTCAGGGCCTAGGGTTTTGCTGGTTCAGATCCTGAGCGTGGACATGGCACTGCTCATCAAGCCATCGTGAGGCGACGTCCCACATGCCACAACTAGAGGGACCCACAACTAAAAAGTATACAACTATGTACCAGGGCGCTGTGGGGAGAAAAAAGGAAAAATAAAATCTTCAAAAAGAAAGAATGTAAACACTTATGTGGATGTCCATATATGCATTAAATCATAAATCCCTTCAGGAAGGAAAGAGGAAAGGAAGCCTGGTTCTCTCTGAACAATTTCTATGGGTTTTTGGTACTTTGATTACTCTCTCAAAAACAATATTCCAGGGGCTGGCCCAGTGGCACAGTGGTTAAGTGTGCACTTCTGCTTCAGGGGTCTGGGGTTCGCCGGTTCAGATGCCGGGTACGGACATGGCACCGCTTGGCAAGCCATGCTGTGGTAGGCATCCCACATATAAAGTAGAGGAAGATGGGTACGGATGTTAGCTCAGGGCCAGCCTTCCTCAGCAAAAAAAGGAGGATTAGCAGCAGATGTTACCTCAGGGCTAATCTTCCTTAAAAAAAAAAAAAAAAAGAAAAGAAACCAATATTCCAGATTCCTTCACTTTCCCATTCTGGTACTCTTTTGCCTAAACCTTCTCCCTAAGGACTAACCCCACCCCCATCTAAAATCGGTTACTATACTCTCCTCTCCTACTTTAACTTTCTTTCACTCTAATACAAAATGCTTGCCCCTTCCTCCAACCTGAGGAAAAGACACCACTGAGGTTCACTTTCAGAAAATAAATAGAGGAAGTATGACAAAAGGAACTGAGTGACTTGGGCGGGGGTGGGACGCGGGTATGACACATGACACACACACGTGTCATTTTCCTTCAACCCCATCTCTCTAATTGCTTTTTACAGTTTTAACTCTGAATCCCCCCTAAGCTCCTTCCTAGCATTGCTCTCTTGCGTCTGATTCTCTTGTCATTACAGATGAAATCTTCATTAGCGATACCGTATTGCATGTTTCCTATACTAGTCTGTTCAAAGAGCTCCTACTTTTAAGTCTAACCTTCATCTCTTAGGCTGTAGCTCTAGCCCATTTCCTTTCATTCAAGTAAGAACAATACCCGTCCCTATCTCTCTGCACCCCTTATCCTGTGCTCTCTTTGTATTTATCCCTTAGGTTCTAACAGGATCTTCCCCCTCTACAGTTCTTCAAGAAGAGATGGGATTGCTACCACCCTTCCCCAGAAAATAACGAAAGGAAACCGCGGCCAAGGCCCAGCCGAACCCAGGAAACCGTGCCCCACCCAGGCCCAGTCCCTGCCCACACCCTTTAACCGGCTCCAGCCACTCCCGGGACCGAGGTCGAGGGCTCAAACCGGCAGCGGGACTACAACTCCCAGCAGGTTGTGCAACCACGCCCCCGCCTCCGCAGCTCCCGCCCGCCCCCCGATTCTCCATTGGCCTTCCGGGGGTGGGGATTAAATGGGAGGTGGCCGAGAGGCTGCGGCCGGGGTTTGTCCCCTGCTCGGCTTCCGTAGAGGAAGGCGCCCAGACCTGAATCTGGGATTTCGGTTCCCCCCCCTACCCCTTCCCCGGGGTCCGGGGGTGACATTGCACCGCGCCCCTCACGGGGTCGCGTCGCCACCCTACGCGTACTCCCTAGCTGGCGTGCTCTTCCCATTCGCCTCTCTTGGCCCGGCCTCCACCCCGCCCCCAGCTGCCCAGCCATGGGGGCCGCGGTGTTTTTCGGATGCACTTTCGTCGCTTTCGGCCCGGCCTTTGCACTTTTCTTGATCACTGTGGCTGGAGACCCGCTTCGCGTCATCATCTTGGTCGCGGGGTGAGTAGGGGGTCGGGGAGACGTGGGAGGGAGCCGAAGAGAGAGATCCGGAAGGGGCTGGAGGAACTGGGGCTAACCTGGGAGCCTGAGTTGGGAGAGACAAGTGGGAGGGGAAGATTGGAAAGGGTCGAATCAGGGGTCTGGGTGATTTGCCTTCTACCGCAGTTGGTTTCCACCTTCCAGAGATCTCACAGATTCCTCCTATACTCCTCCCGGCGACGTCAGAGGAGGCCCAAGGCCAAGACTTGTAAGGGGGCTGTGCTGACCTCGGCCAGCTCTAAGGGAGAATCCAGGAATGGATACCTCGCCCTACTGTGCTCGTACACTCTGGCTCTCATCGCTCTGAAGACTCTTTAATCAGATTTCTACCCTTTTCCCTGCGTCCAGATCCATACAGACTCTCTTGGTGGAGACACCTATCCTATCTCCTCCCTGTTTCCCTTACCATCCGGAAGTCTTAACTTCCACTTTTCATGCTGCAGCTTTGGTTGGTTCCCCTCCTTGATTTCTCTGGCTGCCCCTATCCTTGCCTGTCTGATTGCCCTTGTCTTTCCTCAGGGCATTTTTCTGGCTGGTCTCCCTGCTCTTGGCCTCTGTGGTCTGGTTCATCTTGGTCCATGTGACCGACCGGTCAGATGCCCGGCTCCAGTATGGTCTCCTGATATTTGGTGCTGCGGTCTCTGTCCTTCTACAGGAGGTGTTCCGCTTTGCCTACTACAAGCTGCTTAAGTAAGAAGATGGGATGGTCTGGAAGGGAGGGCAGAGGATTGCACTGTAGAAGTGGGGCAGCCCTGGTGGTGGTTTGGAAGAGGAGGCACTAAGGGAGGACATTAGAGGGAAAGGAGCATTCCTGCCTTCCCTCATGTTTTCCCCACCCTACCCCAGGAAGGCAGATGAGGGGTTAGCATCGCTGAGTGAGGACGGAAGATCGCCCATCTCCATCCGCCAGATGGCCTATGGTGAGCCAAGGGAGAGGGACTGCAGGAGGGAGTTGGACACCCCCTTCCCAGGGAAGTCTCTAGACATCCACATGTTCTAAGTGGCTTCTTGTTTTCCTTCATACCTGACTCCTAAGGAGAGGTGGTCTGGAGGGAGAGTAGGTGTGGGGGAGTTGTGACCTGGAATGGGGAGGGATCACTGGTAATCAGGCTATAGTGATCTCTGACATTGATGAGACCCTCCCTCCCCCCAGTTTCTGGTCTTTCCTTCGGTATCATCAGTGGTGTCTTCTCTGTTATCAATATTTTGGCCGATGCACTTGGGCCAGGTGTGGTTGGGATCCATGGAGACTCACCCTATTACTTCCTGACTTCAGGTAAGATCCACTTTCTGTCTCACCTTCATGCCCCAACTGTCCCTGGCCCTGATCTGATTTATTGGCCCTCCCTGGGAGACTTCTTTGGCTCACCATCTCAGGAGGCTGGGAGAAGATGAGGGATGTAGCTCATCCCCATCTCCCTCCCTGCAGCCTTTCTGACAGCAGCCATTATCCTGCTCCATACCTTTTGGGGAGTTGTGTTCTTTGATGCCTGTGAGAGGAGACGGTACTGGGCTTTGGGCCTGGTGGTTGGGAGTCACCTACTGACATCGGGACTGGTGAGTTGGGGATACCAGGGGCCTGAGTTAGAGAGAAAAGAATTTAATGGTGAGTGGGATGGAGGGGAAATATATCCTCACTTCTTAATGTCTTAAAACTTACCTTGGGAGGAGGAAGAAAGGTGAGTCTTTAGAGGTTTCTCACCTCAGCATCAGTTGTATCATCTGCTCCAGAGATGCCCTGGGGAGGAGTTTGAATGGATTAGTCAAATTGTAATGCAGCTGGCGTGAGGTGAGCAGGAGTGGCAGAAACCTCTTAGGGAGCTGAAAATCAAGTCTCCTTAGCCACAACATGTTGGTGCTCTGAAAGGAAGGAATGGGGGATTTGAGTGAGATATCTGGGGGAGATTTGGGTCAAAGGCACAAAGAGAATATGGAGATTAGGCAGAGGGAGAATCTAACCTCTCTTCTACTCTTACCCCATCCCCAGACATTCCTGAACCCCTGGTACGAGGCCAGCCTGCTGCCCATCTATGCAGTCACTGTTTCCATGGGACTCTGGGCCTTCATCACAGCTGGAGGGTCCCTCCGAAGTATCCAGCGCAGCCTTTCGTGTAAGGACTGACTACCTGGACTGATCGCCTGACAGATCCCACCTGCCTGCCCACTGCCCATGACTGAGCCCAGCCCCAGCCCGGGTCCATTGCCCACTCGTCGGTCTATCCCACTACCTTCAGGGTTTTGCTTTGTCCTCTTGTGACCTTTAGTGTCTAGGCTTTACTAGGAGCAGTCTGGGTTCAGCCAGTCAGTGACTGGTGGGTTTGAATCTGCACTTATCCCCACCACCTGGGGACTCCCTTGTTGTCCAGGCCTCCCCATGTGTCAGTGCTCTGCTCTTACCCTGCCCAAGACTCACCCCCCTTCCCCTCTGCAGGCCGACGGCAGGAGGACAGTCAGGTGATGGTGTATTCTGCCCTGCGCATCCCACCCGAGGACTGAGGGAACCTGGGGGGGACCCCTGGGCCTGGAGTGCCCTCCTGATCTCCTCGCCCTGTATTGCTCCATCTCCAGTACTGGTCAGTGCAGGTTGCCAAGAAAAGGGACCTAGCTTAGCCATTGCCATGGAGATGAAATTAATGGAGGCTCAAGGGTAGACGAGCTCTGAGTTACCCAGTACCCCCTCCCCAGAATGGACATCTTGGTCTTTTTCTCAGGTCTGAGGGGAGCCATTTTTGGTGTGATAAAGACCCCAAACTGCCTTTTTTTGTGTGTATGGGGAGGAGGTATGTTGGAATTCTTCTCCTAACCTCCTTGGACTGTATTTTCCCTCCTCAAATTGCTCCTCGTGTCTGGGCTCATATCTGTCCACCTTTCCACATGGTCCCAGGCCTTGGCAGAAAGGAAGGAAGTGCATGTTTGGGAACTGGTATTACTGAAAACTAATGTTTTAACCTCCTCGACCACCAGCGTCCCTCCTCTCCCCAAGGTGAAGTGGAGGGTGCTGCCGTGAGCTGGCCCACTCCAGAGCTGCATTGCCACTAGAGGAGTCAGACTACCATGACATTGCAGGGAAGGAGGGCAGAATTTTTTCTAGTTTTTAATTAGGGTGTGTGGGGGGCAGGGAGGTTTTCTATAAACTGTATCATTTTCTGCTGAGGATGGCATGACCCATCCTTTTAATCAAGGTGATTGTGATTTTGACTAATAAAAAGGACTTTATAATTGTGGGGGAACTTGGCTTTTAAGGGAGGGGATAACATGTTAATTTGCCCTCTTGCCTCTCTTGTCTGCCTTCCTTCCTAACCTGGCAACCTCTGATCCCCTCCGAGCATAGCTTAGGAGCAAGGGCAGAAATCTGGGCTGGTGGTCTAACATGTTAGAAACTATGGGTTAAGCATTTTCCAAAAGTGGATCTCCCCTTCCAGGAATTGGGTACCAGGAGTTATTCATCCCTGCTGCTTTTTCCCTATCCTTTGCCCGCTTCTGCCACCTAAGGGTTAAGGAACTCTCCTAATCTCAGGAGCCCCAAAGATAAGGCCAGAGGTGAGGTCAGAAACTTTAATTTCCAAATATATTGAGCAAAAAAATAGAACCCCAACAACAGCAGCCTTTTTTTCTAAGAGGAGATCCTGCACTATATCTAGGGGAAGGGACATAAAGGTGAGGGGGTGGGGGACTTTGGGGTACATCCCCAACTTCCTGTAGAATTTAACTTGCTCTCTGCTTTGTCAACTTAGGGATTGTCTGATCTCCTTCTATATGTTTTGAGAGGCTGGAGGCTCTGCTGTTCTTCCTTAAATGAGGGCCTGTCCATGCCTCTCTGTAGGGGCTGTTCAGAGGAAGGAGGGGTGTCGCCCTACAGCTCCTATAGTATTTTCTGGCCAATCTGAGTACCCTATTTTAGAAGCTCCCTCATAGGCATGACGGGAAGGCATCCATGATGTCCAAGAGGGAGTCTATGCCTCGGTGGCTCGTGCTGAGGTGAAGACCACACTTTTCCGGCTTCCCAGCCTCTTCTTCCTGAAAGGGGGAATGGTTCATGGAAATGACTAGTGTCCTAGGTGAAACAGATTAGAGGTGGACTAGGAGAGTGCTTTTCAGTAGAAAAGAAAGGATTAGAAGAATGGAAAGTAGGACCTCACCGAATCTTTCTAGCAATGAAATAAACAGCCAGCAGAAGGCAGAGACAGCCAACCACGATTCCCACTCCTAGACTCAGCATTTCTCCTGGGAAAGACAAAGGTGGAAGGTGTCAGCCTAGGACTAACAGAGATTTTGAGCCTTTCCCTTACTCGCTGAGGAGTCCCCCACCCCATACCTGGGTAGAGCTGTCTTACCTGTGGTATACAAGAATCCTGCTGTAAGGGAAGAAAACTTAGGTCAGTGAGACTTCGCATCCCCATCCCAGCTGGGAGAAGCACACTGTACTTCCATGCCTGGGGAAATCACCTGGCTACTCGGGGTTCGGGGATGGTTCCCAGCCCAAGCAAGTCCTGGAAACCTCTTCCTGTCTTAGCCTTCTTTTCCTTCTCAGGGGCTCCCTAGTTGCTGCCATTGAGTCCCCCAGTTTCCCATCTCCTTTTCCGAGCCCTGTGCACTCACCTTGGATGAAAGAGGCAAAGACTGTTCGCTGATTGAGAGGCTGGGGGGCTCGGTAGTTCTGTACCAGGAGCTCAGGGGGCTCTCCTTCTGTGGAGAACAGTGTCTCCTGAAGCTTTTCCAGCTGAGGAGTAGAAGAGTGGCATTGGCGGGGAAATGTCACTGGCTTTGGGGAGTGGAAAAGGGTCTGAGGTTACAATGGTGTCTCTCTGCTCCCTCACCTCTCCACCACTTACCTGTTCCATTGAAATCTGGGCCCTTTGATTGAAGACTGTCCAGAGCACGCTCTGGTAGCAGGGGGGTGTGGTAAGCGAGCCATTGTAACGGAAGAACTGCCCCAGCTGAGGGGGAAGCAGCTCTCCCACGTTGAAGGGAGGCACGGAGGTCTTCTCATCTGGAGGAGAACAGACTAGGACTCATCTTCCTCTCACTGCACCCTAGCTTACCTAGACAGGGCTCCCAGAAGTGAAGCCCCCTGGCCCTAAAGCTCACTGCTTCATCCCAGGCGTCTTAGGGGAATTTTCCTTGAACTCTAATCGTACTTTGTCCTAAGATAGATTTTTAGGGCCCACCTTTATGCCTAATTTCATGCAGGTGACCCAGAATGTGTTCATAAGCTGGATTCTTAGTCTCGCCCGCCTGGAAGGGGAAGAAAGGGAGAGAGTTTGGAATGAATCAATGTTCGCAATAAGACATTCATGTATAGAATAAATGGTCAGAGTGGGTTGCTGACTTGCCTTGGGAGGGAGACCACCAACAGACATGGGCAGAATAGGGCTGAGGGATACAGACGGAGTGGAGAGAGACCTGGGAGGGAATGGGGGCCACTGACCTCAATGAGGATGCCCAAGACAGCCAGGCCCTGAGGTCTCTGAGCAGCTTCACTCAAGCTATCATAGGAGTCAGAATCATAATGTACGATGTGGAGCTGAGGGAGGGGAGAGGAGATTGAATCATTTAATGTTTTTCTACTACCTCCTCTCAAAGGTTTTGACCCTAGCCACCAACACCACCTCTAGCATGCCCTCAATCTGTCCCATAAAGGTTGACCTTATCCACCACGTAGGACTTTCCCCAGTTTCCAGATCCTTCCTTTCCCCAGCACCACCCATGCCTGTCACTGTTGCTTAGTCCAAGCTTTGCTCCCTGGTACCTCTGCAGCTGTGGCTTTGCTGTTGATCTGGTGCTCTGACCCCCCCGGGGCTCCTTTCTGACCCCAGTGCAGATGGAGCTGGGCAGCTACATATTTTTGAGGAAGTCCTTCCAGGTACAGGGCAGGAGGCAGAGAGAGTTGCACTGTGAGGAAAAGAGAGCAAGCTAGGGTTGATGGAGGAATGTGAACACATTCCCACCTGTGAGTTGCCACCACTTCTTGGGAGACTTGGCCAGCCTTTTCTCTCTCCCTCCCCCAGTAGCACCCAGCTCTTCCCAGAGGTCACTGCTTTTCTAGAACTTCTACCCCTTTCTCAGTCAAGATCAAGTTGATGCTATGATACTAATCCATCCATAGAGATCTTGATCACAGACATTCAGTTCCCTTTTTTGGCTGCTGGAGCCTCATCCCCATTCTCACATCTCCATATTTATAGATGAAGTCTTCTGAGAATTCAGAAGTTAGGAGAAGGCCTCTTTCCCTGCCTCCTAAGATTGGAACTGGAGCCTACACCCTCTTGCAGCCTGGGCTTTTTACCTGTGTGACCATTATTGTGCATGTCCAAAGGCTCAGTGCCAGGCTTGTCATATCCGTGGGGCTGCAGAGCAGGCAATTCAGGATCAAAAGTCACACTGTCCGTCTGGATATTTATGGGGGACTGGGCATTGCTTCCACACTCAGGGTAAGAGGCTGGCCAATGGTCTTGACCATGTGGGCCTGGTGGGGGGAGTTACCATGGACATTTGTCATGTCCTTCAGCCCCAGCCACACTTGAGCAACCCCCCCCCCAAGTAATACATCTGTGTGGAGGTAGAAATGCTCTTCCCTCCACCCCAGGTGAAACCCCGAGTTGTGCAGGGCTGGGTGAGGTAGGAGTCCCTGCTGGGCTTGCTGCTGCAACTCCCTTCACCTCCCCAGAGGCAGTGATGATTCCCCGGCTCTTGTGATAGATGGGGAGTAATGGCTTTACTTACCTGTAGTTTGAGGGCAAGAAAGCTGAATAAGAGGAACAGGGGTGGGTAGGAAGCCTGTGTACCCAGGGAGCTGGGATTAGAGTAGGAGCAGGACAACTGGGAAGAAAATGACCCTGGAGAGAGGGTCTCTGTGGGACTGTAGCAAGTGGCCTTGGGATTCAGATCTGTTGACTTGTCATCATTCATGTCTTGCTCTCACACTGGACCTTGCATTGACTCTGGAATTCCGTTGTTATTAATCAGGAGTTCAAAGGAATTGAGTTCACCTCTACCAGGGTCACAAACTCTCCTACCAGCCTCTTCCTCACCTGTGATCTCAAGCTCTGTCCTAATGCCAGATATGAGTTGGAGGGTGGGATTGATTAGGATAAAGAGAGAGCCAGGAGGAGATTTGGCAGCTAAGCTCAGGGTTTCTTTCCCCACCCGGTTTCCTTTCCACTCCAGCTCCCTCACTTCCACGTGGATTGACTGAGGACATAACTGGCTTTTCTGCTGAATCAGGAGGTGTGGGATTTGATAGTTAGAACAGAGTCCAGGAATTATATATGCAAAACCTAGGACAAGAGGAGATGGGGAAGGGAGGAGCTAGGGTGAGAAGCTAAAGGAAACCTCCCCACCCACACGGCAACAGTCTTTCTGCCAGGTGAAGAGGTCCCAGTGTGCAAGGGGTGTCGTAGGTCTTGGGTTCTGCTCTCACCCTCATAGGTCCAGTGTTGACCTGCAAGGCAGAGTACTTTGAGTTACAGCCAGTGCAGCCTGGAGCAGCGCCCTCCTCCACTCCCCTCTCTCTTGGGCACTCTGCACCGCTCCACCTCCCTCTGCTCTTTCTCCTCCCTCCACTCCAGCACTTCCCAGAGGAAGCCCTGAAACTGGACACCTCGGTGGAAAGGTCGGGGGGCCTATTTAAAATCACCAGCCAGGCTGTCCTTGTGTTTGCTAAGTAAAGGGGGAGGAGAAATGAAAAGAGATAAAGCCCAGAGACTAAAATTAACCTGGATCCAAATGTGCAGTCTGCCCAACGGTCAGTTTTCTCCAGCCTCTGCCAATCCAATCTAACACTTAGAAGATTGGTGTGAGGTGAGGGTGTGGGCAGAGGGTTTGGAGGAAAGGGACTAGAACAAGCGGAAGGAAAGAAGTTCAGAGTGGGGGGTGGTGCTGCTGAGGGGAGAAGAGCGATTATTCCTTTGCTTTGAAGAGTTGCAGAATCAGGGCACTGAGCTGTAAATTCCCGTTTAAGTTCCTCCTTCTGGTCTCAGTAACTCTAAAGGAAACATTCTCCATCACCAGGAGCCTCTGCTCCCTAGATTTCCAGTTGGCTAAGGAAGGCAGGAGTCAGGGCAGGGTCCACTCCACATTGAGGGTGGTGGGTGGCCACAGGCAGCCAGGCTGGCAGGGACAGGATGAAAGTGAAGCATTGTGTGTGGAAAAAGAGAGCTGCCAGCTGGGTCACGTGCCAGGCTCTCGTGCAGTCCTGTCTCGGGCTGAAAGGCCGGGGGTCTGCTGGTCGAGACCTCATCCAGGGCCAAACTGCTTCAAGGGAAAAGGGAGGCCTTCCTGCGGGTTTTCTCTACATTATTCAAATTGCTGGAGACTTTGGAGAAAAGTCTGAAATTCCTTCCTCTGTGTTTCTTGTTCCCTTAAATTCCTCAGACTTCTAAGATATCCTTGATCTCATCCCTGGACTCTTCTGCTGGCCCATCCCTTGGTTCAGATGCCCTGAAAAGCAGCCCAGGGGAGGGCTGGTGGCAGCCTCTCGTTTGCCAGCTCAGTGGGACACCCCAACAACTTGAGTTCCCTGGTTCTGTGCAGGCTGGCAGCCTTGCCCTTCACCACTCACTAAATCCTCAACACACTAATTCTACATCTCTTCCTCCTCTTTCCCTATTTTTTTCCTTTTTCCTCAGATGCAATTTGCAACTCTCCATTTGGTTTCCCTTGCCCTGACATCATCCTCTCTGCATTCCCCTTTCGCTCTCTAGACACCACTGCCCACCCCTCCCCCACCACATTCTGTTCTTCCAACAGATCTTAATTACACACCTACTATGTGCTGGATACTGGCTTAGCCACAGGAAACACAGAAATGGGGGGTAGGGTTCCTGGGGACACTCCTGGAGCCCCTTGGTCTGTTCTCCCAAGAGTCCCTCCTCCTCTCCTGGGGGCTCCTGAAAGTCCTTTGTACACTGTAAAGGGCCCAACAACGTTGACTATTATTGCTACTGGTTTTAGGGAAAAACTGAGGAATTTGTCTCCCTGTAGAATCAAGAGGGGACCTCAGCCATGAGGTTCATGGTTGAGAACTAGGGTCTGAGTTAGGCAGGAGGTGTAGGGTATACCCCCACCCCCCATCAGCCCTCTATCCTTTCACTCCAGGCCTCTTTGGCTCCATAATTGGAGGAGTTTGTAAATAAAGAAGGCCAGGAGGGCTGCCTGGGACTAGGGCAGTGAGGGAAAGGGCTCCAGAGAGAAGCTGTAGCCTGCAAAGAGATTCCCGCAGTGTGTGTACACATCCTGCCCCCGGCTGGTTCTCTCCTATCTCCGCAAACAGCAAGGCTGAAAAGGCAAAGGGAAAAGAAGGAAAGTGGTCTCCTTCCCACTCCTCTCTTTCTCTGCATCCCTGAGCCTATTATTCTAGCCCCGAGGCTTCCTTTTACACTCCTCCCTCCGGTTAAGCATGCATGGCGACTTGTGGACATCAGCACAGACACACAGACATCCAGATGTACCTACCCCCGTCTGCAGCCAGGATCCAAAGCACCTCTAGCAGGAGGCTGAAGAACAACATGGTATCCTCAGAAGGAGCACAAGGTACTGGGAGTTTGGGGACTAGAGGACTAGGGCAGGCAGAGAGAGGCGGGGAGGGGGAGAGAGAGAGAGAGAGGGAGAGAGAGGGAGAGGAGATTCCTGAAGTTGAGTGTATTTATTTTTTTCTCTTGCTATTTCTATGTCTCTGCGGGCTTCCAGGGGATTTGGTTTTCCTAGGGTACCGTGGGTTTCTGAGTCCCCAAGACAAAAGTCCTGCTGCCTCTCTCTCTGTTCTCTTTTTTATCTCCCTCTTGCAGTCTTCCCTCCACTTGCTGGCCAGCGACTTCACAATTGCCTCCTGCTTTTAAGGTGGCTCTGAAAGGGTGTACGTGGGGAGGGGGGGCTGCCTGGGTTGCTGGCGAACAGCTCCTTAAATAGCCGATTAGGCACGCAGGCTGGCCCTGCTCACAACCGAGAGCGCGGCGGGTTTCACAGGAGTCCTGGCCCTGGCTCAGGAGCCCAGCTGGGGTGAGCTCTTCCTTCCTCTGCTGTTCACACAGACACTGTTCAGATGAGTGTCCCCTGGAGTGGGCAGGGGCAGGGGCAGGGAAGGTGAGCTTTGGGGTTTAATCCAGCCTCCTCAGGGAGACACTGGGTTCTCATTCCCCGTCTGGCTTCTTTGAGGAGCAACTCCTTGGGTAGTACGGGCAGATGGTGGGAGGACCTGTTCCCAGTCCCCTGCAGAATTTGAGCTGCCCTGGAATAGGAAGAGTCCAGAGTTAGGAGAGAGGTAACAAGAAGGAGTTGGGAGACTCTGGGTGCTGGGGGAGGGTAGGAAGTCAAGGACTAAAACCTGGGTTGTGGCGAATAAGAGAATTGAGGCAAAGAAAACTTGTTTGGAGTAATCTCTTTCTCCTGCGCCTGTCACCACCCCCTTCCCACAGTGAGGCCTGGGTCCACGTGCCTGTGTGGCCTGGGTGGGGGGTGGTTTGTTTGCTGTATAAAGCCCATTTGTATGCCCAGTGGGGGAGGGGCTGCAGTAGCACCATGGGGAGACAGCGGCTCCAACTGCCAGGCCCAGCCACCTCCCTCCCCAGGGAGCCCAGATCTAGGGCGGCTTTTGTCACTGAAGAGGACACTGACCCCTGGCAGGGAGGCCAGCGCAGGAGGAGAGATGGGGAGACCTTAGAAACAATCGCTCCCACCATCAAAAAAAGGGCAGACTCCAGAGAAAGGGGGGGAGGGAGCAGAGAGACCATGTGATCCAGCTGGAAGAGGGGCCTGGGGTCTTCCCTCCCGCCCAACAAAGGGCTGAGCAGGACGTGTTGGGCTGAGTGAAGCCTGCCACCAGGAGCTGGGAGCTGGGCAAGTGGAGCATAGAGGCTGCCGTGTCTCAGGAATGTGGGCTGGTGCTTGTTCCTCCACGGGACTGGAAATCCCGATCGGAATGTACATCCTAAATCCCTCATTAGAGAATGTGAAACTCTCAGATAATTTCATGCCAGACATTGAAACCTCTTTCTTCTCCATACCCTTCACCAGAGTCACCAGCCAGGAAGATGCACCTGATTGAGCTCCCTCTGCCGACCTTCCTCCTGCCAAGTAGCAATAAATAGCCAAAACAAAGGGAGCAGAAGCTAAATAGGGAGCAGGATGAAAGCCAAATGAGCAGAATAATGCACGTCCTGGCTCATCAGCGCCTGCAGAGGCAGGAGCCCGCCGTGCCTTTCTGTCCCCTGTGATTGATCTGCAAAGCAAAGCTATTTTGCAGATGTCATTTCCTTTTTAATTCTCTCATCACCCTCCAATTATTTTTCCCTTACAGAAAAGTTTATGATTTGAGGTTCCCCCAAAGCCCCACCTGTCCCATCTAAGAAGAATGAAAGGCTTAAAGTGTAAATCAGACTTCCTGGGAATCAGGTTAGTTAACACAGAGGAAGAGAAAAAAGAAATAAAGCAGAGATTTTTTGCACGGTAGGAAAGAAGATGCTTGGGCAGAGTGACCTCTGCCAGGACAGAGTTCTTTTGGAGCGTCTGGGACTGCGATGCAGCCTCCCAAGGCAGTAGTGTGTCTCGCCAGGCGCCACCTCCCGGTTGTCTATGAATTTTTTAGTTTTTAAAACTTTAATTTAAAATGTTTTGTGTGTCATTCCTTCTGGGAAGTGTTTCACTGCTGATGGGCTTCGGGATTTTGCCCACACAATTCAACATTGTTTCAACAAAGATGTCCTAGCCCCACATCAGCACTTTCCACTTCTGACTGAGCAGCCCCTCCAGGCCCTCGTGCTTCCTCAATGGACAAAGGCCCTGGTTTCTAGGAGAAAGGGAGAAAGGAGGCAAACGCCGCCTTCCTGGGACTTCCCTTGACTTTGATCTTTGGCTTTACTGTGGATATTCCTGTTGTCACCAGACTGATTTGAAATAGGTTGTCAAAAGGACCCTTATATGTTAAAAAAGACACCTCCTAATCCCAACACACACACACACTCTCTCTCTCTCTCTCTCTCTCTCTCTCTCTCGCTCTCTCTCTCTCGCTCTCTCTCTCTCTCTCGCTCTCTCTCTCTCACTCTCTCTCTCACACATACACTCTCTTCACCTTAGCTGCTACTCAAACGAGCACTTTTGTTTCAATTCCTGCTTCTCCCCCTCCAGCCCATTCCTCACTCGGGTTGGCTAAAACCCTCCTAAAACCAAGGTATTTTGCTGCCTTCTGGCGCCATCTGCTGTCCTTTTAAATTCAGTGAAACGTGAACAGATCGGAGAATCAAAAGTGTCCAACTGTGTTGCCTATTTCGTTAATTTTTTCTTAAAAGGTCCTTTTTAAAAAGGGTATTTAAACTCACTAAATATCCTAAATAGTCTGAAAAACTTTACAGGAATCCACAAAGGGCTCTGAGTTTTTGTGGTGGGGTATGTGAAAGTTAATGAAGGAGGAAGGCAGACCAAAAGGAAAGGAGAATGGTCAACACAGGAACTTAAGCAGTCCAGGTGGTAACTAATTGCTGAGAAGAGAGAATCAAGGAGGAGACAGAATTAGATGGAATTTGATTTCCTAAAAGGCAAGCCATGTTGTGCCATGAAATACTGTAGACCCAGAGATATTCTGATTTGATAGGTAATCACACAAAAGTTTTCAAGAATTAAAGTCAAAGTAATTTGGGGGTGGGGATAGTCAGAACTCTTTGGATCATTTTCTTAGTTTTCCAGTTCTCGTTGCACGACAGATGCAGTATGAGAATCTTGTAGACAGAAGACAGGTAAAAGTTTGTGGTCTGAACTGTTGCAACTTTAATTAAAAAGGAGTAATTTTGTGTCCTGCATTGATTTCATGCCCAGAACACTGCCTGGTACGTAAATATTTGCTGATTGAATGAATGAATCTAGTCATTGGAACATATATTTACATTCTGCCTTTGGCATTTTGCAGAATTTTAGACCAGAAAGGTCCTCAGGCATCATTCCAACTCCCTTGTTGTACCCTGTAAAGACTGAGTTTTGAGGGATTTCAGGATTCTCCTGTGGTTAGTCATATACCTGCTAAGCTAAACCAGCACGAGGACACAGACACCCTTGAACGTTCTCCTACACTACCGGTTCTCAAATGTCAGTGTGCATCAGAATCACCTAGAAAGCTTGTTAAAATACAGATCTCTGGGCTTCCTCCCATAGCTCCTAATTCTGTAGGTCTGGGGTATGTCCAGAGATATGCATTTCTAACAGGTACCCCAGGTGATTGGTGCTCTAGTGGTTAAGATTCATCACTTTCACTTCTGAGGCCCAGGTTCGTTTCTTAGTGGGGAAACCGCATCACCCGTCTGTTGGTTGTCATACTGTGGTGGCTGCCTGTGGCTGTGATGCTGAAAGCGATGCCACCAGGATTTCAAATACTGGCAGGTCACCCATGGTGGACAAGTTTCAGTGGCATTTCCAGACTAAGACAGACTAGGGAGAACAACCTGGCCTTCCACTTCTGAAAAAATTGGCTGTGAAAACCCTATGAATAGCAGAGGAACATTGTCTGATACAGTGCCAGAAAGTGAGAGGATGGCATAAAAAGTCCGAGCAGGTTCCACTCTGCTGTACACAGGGTCACAAGGAGCCAGAATCGACTCAGCAGCACTGACAACAACCACCACCCCCCCAGGTGATGCTGTTGCTACTGGTCTAAGGGACCACATTTGAGAATCAATACCCTACACCCACTGGAGAAGCAGAGGTAGTAAGGAGTTTGCCATTCTTTGTAGGATTCCAGCCATCTGGAATTGTTCTTTGCAGTCACCTTTGTAGAGGTTAGCAACAATTGCTTCATTAGTTTACACACGTATATTGAGTACTTGTAGGTGCTGGGCACCGTGCAGGCCCTAGAAATAAAAAGTTAAGAAGACATAATCCCTGCCCTCAAGAACTTCACAGTCTCTTAGGGGATGCAGACACCTTACTCAATTACTAGAATACATCATGAGACATTCTAAATGGTGGTAGAGCAAAGTGTTATGGGAACCAACGGAGGTAGGCAATTAGCAGTGAGATTTTCTTTACCTGACATCAACAATCATCCCACAGGATGAGAGCATAACCAGGTCTTATAGTTATGTTCAAGAAGATAAAAATTGTCACTCCAATGTAGGCTGACCCATGCTTCACCCTCTCTGAGAGTGACACCAAAGGATAGGTTATGTCAAAGCAGGATTCTCCTTATTATGTTTAATGAACTGCTTCCTCTGAAAAGACTAAGGAAAAAGGATATCATGGTGCCCTGTAATTGTAATTGTTTGTTCCGTCTGCTCTGGTGGCACTTCATTCTGCCTGTCTTTTCCCTTTTCTTCTTGTTCTCTACCATTCATCTAACTCAGATGAAGGTTGTGTACCAACCCAAGCAAAAGACATGATCACTTCTACCACTTCCCTTCATTGATGAGAAGGTTCTAGTTAGAGATTTTTTCTTTCTTTCTGAAAGAACTGTTATGTCTGAATTGCTATAGGAATAGGAATCAGAGGATAATATAGCAAAATCTCGTGGCCATGGGTAGCTTATTACTGGTTTAATCATCCCCCAAATAAAAAGTCTGTTCTCAGATCAGATTGTGACAAATGATTTGTTCTTTGAAACCTTATAGTGAAAGTTTGCTGTGCTTTCATTGACATTTTATTGGCTTCAAAATATCTATACATTTTTTTAAAAAACATGAGTCTTGAGGGGTAAAGGGAGTTGGCTGAGGTCACATAGAAATATTACTAGGACAAAGAATCAGGCTCTCACTGATCTTTCACTCAAAATGTGTTAACATACTTAAAAAACAAAAACAAAAACCTTTAAAGAAAATAGAAGACATTTTTGGCTCTGGCTGCTGCTGCCTCAGTTAATTCCCCTAGT